CAGGCCTTCGCCCCAGCAAGGCTATGGAAACTTGTTCCAGATCAGGTCCTAAGTGCTCTGCTGCCCTCCATGAACCTGCAATCTTCAGTGCTTGAGCCGGCATGGCACAAGGTCCAACTACACATGATCCCTAAAGTGCCTATCGTCCGCGAGCCTAAAGCCCTCCGCCCCATTGCCCTCCTACACCCGGCCAACAAGCTGCTGGCCACCATGATAGCAGATCAAGTGCAGCCCAAGATAGCAGCCTACCTCTCCTCAGTCCCACAGTGGGCGTACCTCCCAGGGCGCTCCACGGCTGATGCACTAGAATCCGTCTGCTCTCACCTGCACAGTGTCAGATCTCTCATTCAGGCCAATGCCCAAACCCTGCCGCAGCGCTTTCAAGGCGGGACCCCGCAAAAGCTGATAGGAGGGATATCCATAAGCCTGGACGTTCGAAAGGCATTCGATAGCCTGTCGCACTCCTTTCTGGAAGAGGCAATGCGTGAAGCCCAGTTCAGTGAGCCTGAAATCTCTCTCATCCTACACTTGCACTCGCAAGCTCACCTTCAAGTGGGAATGGGCTCAGCAGCAGCCTCTGTCTTTCTAGAAACAGGAGTGAGGCAGGGATGCTCGCTCTCTCCCATTCTTTGGGCCTTAGCCACAGGCCGAGTCTACCGACTCTACATAGAGGCGCTGCAAGCCGAATCCCTACCAGAAGGCCTGACCAACATGTTTGCAGACGACTTCTTTGGAAGCTGGACGTACAAAAGCCCAGAAGCTTTTCGAGCAGTAATTCGAGCCATAGGTCTTCTGATACGAACGCTCCAACAAGCAGGACTAGAACTGAGCCTTGAAAAGACCATCCTGCTACTAGCATCCACTGGCACCAGTGCTGCCTCCGTCATCGGAGGTTACCGGACCTATAGGAATAAAGAGACCTACCTCCACATTCCAGTAGGACAATCTCGCGTGCTGATTAAGGTGGTGCACTCACATAAGTACCTAGGCGCTCGTCTCTCCTACCAGGGCTTTGAGAACCAAAATCTCAAGCACCGCCTAGATACGGCATGGGGCAGCTTTTGGAGGCTACATCACATCCTCATCCACAGAGCCCTTCCCCTTAAAACCAAGGTGAGGCTATGGCTTGCGTGTGTCTTCAGTGTGCTCCGATATTCCCTCCATCATGTGGGACTACCCGGCCACGGCCCACAGGTAATTCGCCAAGCGGTGCATCGGCAGCTTCGCATGATAGCTCGATCCCCAGCTCATCTTTGGCATGTGCCATCCACAGAGATTCTCCAGAGACTGGGACTAGAAGACCCTTGGATCATGATTTGCCAACAATATGCCGGACCTCGAACTCTGGAAGTGCCCTCGCATCAAACCCTGCATCATCGGCAGTGGAGCCAGCTACTCTCGATCTCCTTTTCACGCTCCCCTCTAGCCACTGCCCCCCCTGGAATGCCACCTGACCACCCACACAGGTCACAGGCTGGCTCCTGGGCCAACAGAGGACCAGGCACACCACATGAAGGCCTGAGCTGCGCCAGCTATCGCCGAGCCCATGCCTTTAGAGTCTTGCAATGTCCACACTGTCACCTACAGTTCGAGTCACTGGGAGCATTAAGAGTGCATGAAGCCAGCAAACACTCGACCGCAACTAATGCCCTCCACTCCTCCGAAACCGAAGTACCCGCTCCTGAGATCCCTACCCCCCTAGATGGCACCCACCACTCCACTTCCCATGCAGAATCAGATCCAATGCAGTCGCCTTCTGCACCCTCCGTCACAGCTACTCGGGAACCCAAGGCCTCTCGGGCTGCGAAGAAGTACACTAGAAGGCAGGTACAAGCACACACTCAGGCGACGAGCATGCATCAGGATCTCCCTGAATGCCTCAAAGCTGCCGATCCACAGACGCGCTTTTCGTACCTGCATGCACGTCAAGGCCTTTGTGTTTGTCGTCACTGCGAACGAGAGTGTGCCAGATGGGATGATTTAAAAATCCATATCTTCACACGAGCCTGTCCAGTACTGTTCCCTGATGCTCAACACCCAGTCAACAGTCCTGCCCCGCCCAATCCGATTAGCCCGTACTGGCACACAGCGATACGCAGGGAGGCCGACAGAGGATGGGAGGCGATTTCCGCTGCCATGAAAAAGGAAAATCCGCAGTGTCGCCACCACTGCCCGATATGCGGTCAATGGTTGATTCAGGCACGGGGGCTCACTCTCCATGTCAAGGCTCATCACCCATGGGCACATGAAGCTCTTGCTTATACCAGATTACACAGCCGTAGCTTCCGCAGGGGACTGGCCCTCAGCTCTCCCTGCAGATACTGTGGGCGCTGCTTCAAGGGAGATCAGGCAAAGCATGCATCGGAGTGTGCGATGATTCAATGGTCTAAGTTCCTGCAAGCCCTCCTCAATCCATCAGCACTACCACGCCTGCGAAGGCCCCATGGACCTCGAGGGAGTCTCGAAGGAGGATCTGGAGGAGGCAGCGGCGCAACTGGCATTCCTGCAGACCTCAGCACTACAGGGTCGAGCCTCTCCACTCCAGCCCCCTTCTGTTTCCGGCCCCAGCTCAGAACCTGAGCCTCCAGGTCAACCCCACTCCTCCGACTTCGGAGGTTCCACAGCAAAGCAATGGGCTCTGCCTTCGGGGGGACCCCCACTTAATGTGGCCCAGCCTACTGCAACGCTCCAGTCCCAAGCAGCTCAGGAGACGGACCCGCAGAGCAAGTTTGCTCGATCCAACGAGAAGGGCCAAGGCCAGGGTGGGAAGGGACCGCGACAGGGACAACAAGCAACTCGGCGCCAGTTTCCTTCACGAGCACTCACGTCGACAGCAGCCCCCTCGGCCCCTCCACCAAACCCCAACGGCGGCTCACCCTCCAAGATTACGGTTTCGGCAGCCCTGATCACACAGATCGTCCAAATGGTACTGAGGCAGGCGGACGCCTTGAATGCCATCGAGCAATCGACCACATGGACTTTGTTTCAAGGAACGGCCCCGCCACTCACAGTGGTAGACGCACAGGCGGTGATCGCCACGGAGTGGAACCAGCTCAAGGACTCCAATCCTGCACAGGTGACTCAACCACTGAGGGTGGTACTGTGGCAAACATGGGCCTCAGAGCTGGTCAAGAGGCTGCAGCTCTTGACGACATGCCCAGAAAGCAGGAAGGAGGCTCTGAGGCTGCAAATCCTCACGGAGCCGGACTGCTTCAAGTATGTGAAATGGAACTCGGCTCATCGTCGACTGGATCCAGTGGACACGCTTGCCCCATTGACCCTGAAGGAGATAGTGGACATGCTTCAGGAAACCATCGTCCTCTGCCGAGACGAGGGTGTTCTCATCAACTACCACCCGCTTCGCAAGTTGACCCCTCACATGACAGGCTCGGCAGTAACATTCTCCCTCAGCCTAGGCCTCCGGGAAGCACGGGCCTATCGCTTTTGGACCATCTTGGAAGCGCTAGCTGGAAACGCCAGCTTGCAACTCGTGGCGACGACAATCCGCCGCGACAAGAGAGGCAGGTCGCCTCTGGCCCAGTCTCTCGAGAGGGAACTTCGCAAGCTTCAGCTGCTCTGATGCAGCTAAAACAGTTAGCCCTGTCGAACCTAGCGAACGACTGTTACGCCAACACAATCCTGTTAGCCACAGTTTGGGTGTCGGTCCAGTTCCAAGGTCCCGCTAACGTGTTTGCCGTGCCCTCCCTTCAGGAGGACCTAGCCTCTCTCCTTGCACACAGCTCAGACAAGAGCCCGGTCCATGTTTGGTCGCGACCGGTGTGGCGCAGGAGCTTGCGCCACTGGCCAGAAACGGGCCGACAACAGGATGTCGGAGAGTTCCTTAGCTTCTTTGCCCAGGCCTGCAGACCAGTAGCTTTGCAGGGAAGTTGGGCGATCCTCAACCGGGCTCAACTTGAGGACTGCGGCAATGTGTGCCCACTTGTGCTAAACTGTAATCTTGAGCAACTAAGCAGCACGAATGGCACATGCACTCTGCAACAAGCCATCAATGCCTGGCACAATCTTCCCGGAAGCCCTACCCTGACCTCAGGAGTAGCCTGTGCAGTGCTGCAGCTTAACCGCTTCAGCCTCGTGAGCGGCCGGGTTCACAAGTCACAGACTCCTGTAGCTCTCTCTAGAACAGTTAGAATCCCAACGTGGCGAGAGGGCTCTGTAAAGTGGATCAACCACCTGCTCAGTTCAGCTGTCATCCATTTAGGGGAGACTCCGAGATCTGGTCATTACAGAGCCCTGCTTTTCGACCACACGGGTGGAGCAAGGATCACGGACGACAATGTGCCTTCTGTCGTTCCCACTCGTGGTATGGCTGAGATCACTAAGGCTAATGTCTACCTAGTGTTTGTTCGCCCTGATCCTGCAAACTACCGAACATAGTTTTGTGTTGTACTAGGCTCCAATTCTGCTCCAATCAGTTTAAGCCTGGTGCGACAAGGGAGGTCATAGCTTTAAGTTGTTTGTTTCGTTTGATATTGTAGTTCGTCTGGTTTTGTTATCTTGCTGCTGCAAAGCTATGCCAGACTCCCTCAAGGCCCCAAGGGGCGGCTAGGCTAGGGTGGGTGGCCACAGTGCCATGAGGCAATGCCTCCGCGTAAGACACGCGCCAACTTCGCTGAGCAGACGAACCTTCCCTGCTGCGAGTGTGAGTGAGTGAGTACTACTACTACTACCACTACTACTACTACTACTACTACTACTACTACTACTACTGCTACTACTACTACTACTACTACGTTACTACTACTACCACTCCTCCTCCTCCTCCTCCTCCTCCTCCCACTTTCACTCCCACTCCCACTCCTACGGCTGCTGAGGCCATCACACCATGACAACGACGACGACTACTGCTACTGCTGACGACGTCGGCTAGGACTACTACAGTAGGACTACAGCAACTGGTACTCGGTCCTTCTCGGCTCAGGGTTAAGGACTTTGCGCTGTTGGGGCCGACTTCGACAGCTGAGCTTTGACTGACTCGTCGCCTGGTCAAGCAGCAGCTCCAAGCAAGTGAGGATTTCTGCCGGGCCGGGACCTGCGCCAAGCGGGGCCAAGGCGGCCAAGGCTGCAGTGCAATGCCAAATGCCAAATGCCAGAGCTGCGAGAGCTGTTAGCGTCCTGAGATGACCAGCAGGCGCAGATTGGTGTCTGGGAAGAACCTGCAAAATGCACGCTCAAGCAAGCGCAGTGCTGCAGGATGATGGCTGGTGGACGGCTTGCGGCAAGCAGTCTCGGTCGCCAGCTCATTTCGCCGCGAGAAGTTGCAGTGGCAACCTTCCGATGGAAGCAGACTCGGTCAGGCGAAGCTGAAGCAAGGTCTTGGGCCTGAATGCTCTTGGATCTTGGCGACCTCGGGAGGGCACACAGAAACGGTCTTGGGAGCCTGTTCTCGGGCCGAGCCCCAAGCGGTCTGCCCACTGGATCCCAAAACCGCTGCCACGAGCCGATCTGGGCAAAGGACCTGCTGAAACGCGGTACAGGGCACCGCCCTTTGGGGCGGCCCTCTTCTGGCGCCTTGAAGGCGAAGCGTCCCGCCACGGGCGGCCCTCTGCCGCGTTTCGCTGGAGGCCCCGAACCCGAACCTCTGCCTGCGCAAAAGAGGTGTCTCCGAACCTCTGTCTGAGAGAATTCTTTGAGGCTGGGACCCTCCCGGCCACGCTTCATGGCCAGAGGACGCTCACAACGCTCCTAAACACCACTGGCGTAGTTCTGCGAAGTCTTGTGCTTGGTTTCCTGTCTGATCTGTTGTATCTGCGCTTGAACCGCACGGGAGGAGACAATCAGAGGCCGCCTGGCTTTGTGCCACATTCTAGCAGCAAAGTATCGACAGTGCTCAGTACTCGAACCAAGGACTCGACAACTGGAGGGGCCAGTCAGCAAAGCACCCAAAATCAACAGCATGCATCGCAGGTGGCAGCTTCGCTGACCGTGTCCTACAAGTAGCAAGCGCCCAACCAAGGACAAAGTGGCAGGGTCTATCTGCAAGTAAGATTTTGACGCCTCGTTGCTCGTCGGTCGCGTGAGCCGCAAGGCTCCAACGATGCATCTGCTGAGGTGTTTCAGACCTTTAAAGGAAACTACAACTTGTTAAACGACAAGTTGCAAGAACTGCACGAGTTGACGGATTCGTGCAGGCCGGAAGAGGAATGCATACAGCCTGTGCAGGGAGATTTCATGCAGGACAGCACGCCATTGAGCTCCCAAAAGCCCTCGTTGACACTCCTTTGAGCGCAGATCTTCTTCTTCGAGCTGGGCCAAAGCGAAAGACACCGCAGATCACGAAGCGCTTCTCGTCAAGAGCTCCAACCCTTCGGGGGCCGAGTGAGCTCGGTCTCATCAGCTTGCTTCTGAGTGGAGGTGTCCGCACCGTGAACGCCTTGCAGACATCTCCCGGGATGAGCTGTAGTCCACGATAGCCAAACGAGTCACCAAAGGATGTGGCGCCAAATAATCTCGGCTGCCATCTCGAAGCTGCCCTGGGCCTGCTGCAGCGCAAGCAGCAGGGTTCTACGGGATGGCACGAACTGTTGAATGCGTTTGATGCTGAATAGTAGCACGGGATAGGCGTGCGCGTGGGCGTGCAGGCCTTTTTTGTGGCGTGTTGTATGTGTGTGTGTGTGTGCTGATTCTCCTGTTTACTTGACATGCAAAGCAGCTCTTGTTCCACATCCAACATCATGTCCAAGTGTTCCGCAGCTGCGCTTCTGATCACTTTCACTTTGTTGATATCCCGTGGACACCAGAGCCGACGTGCGCGGCAAGAAATTTCGATGTCTTTGACGCTTCTGGATATAATGTTCAACCTCTTGGCACACTTGTTAACCAACATTTGATGCACCTGACTTGTCATTGAAAGGCTTCGGCCTCAGGGCGAGAATTGTGCTACGAGCGGTTCAGAGCTAATCTGCAATCATGGTCGATCAACCCACAACTGTGTGCACGATTAAAGGCTAGGGGATGTTAGGGGTCATCGTCTAAGTTGACAGGATTTCGTCCTCCACGTGTGTGCAACCAGCAAAATTTGTAAGATCAGACATTTGTGTGTAAGAATACCCCCGCTGGCATGTCCAAAACCCCCACAGGCGAAATGACGGATCCCGGTGTGGCGCACGTGAGACGACGCGTGCACGCGCGAGCGTGTGCGAGGGCCGGTGCTGGCACGGTCCGGGCGCACCGTCGAACACTTCTGGCTTCATTGAACTGGCCTTGTAAAGGTAGGCCAAATTCCAAGCTGCTGATCTCCGGATTATCAACAAATCTGTCCTGGTCGAGGGCAATGCTAGCCAGCCGTCTGGATGCAATTTCACGGCATGTGGGCGGTGGTCGAATCTCAACTGTAAATGGTTCTCAGCCCAAGCTGACAAATCTCGATCAATCCCCCGGTAGAGAGCAGGGATCTATCCCCCGATCCACATGACTGCTACGACAACTTTAGATTAACCTTCAGCTGCAGTCTGGGTGCTGTGGATGTAGTAAAGCAGTCCGTCACAGCATGAAATTCTGAATCTCAATCCGCGAAAACCAGGGGTGGAGCATCAACAGATACATTACTTATGATGAGCAACTTTTGAGCATCAAGAAATGAAGCATGATTGCAAGATCTTATGCAACTCAATTGGTGCCCAGCAAAAAGCGGAGGATCAGATGTACATTCCAGGAACGTATCAATGCATTTTTGTGCAAGGAGGTCGTTATCAGATAAAGAACGCTCCACGAGAGAAGTCGCTTGCAATTCGGGTGTCGACGGTGGTGTGACAAGCTCAATGTCGGAACAAGTGACCAGTCTGCTGAAACTGTTCACAGCTTAACACAAGATCAACCATCTGGTTGCCGCAATTTCAACTGGGTAAAAATCGCTGTACATGCGAGTGTTTGGGCAATTTTGGGCATCATCCTCGCCTCACCTCATCAAGCCTGAAGGGCCAGCAAAAACCCGAAAACATCGAAGGAGCAGGAGCACGTTGGCACAAGCTCTGGGGGACTTCCACTTTGAGGGGGTCCCTCTTTTGGCCGAGCTGTTGAGCTGTTGAGGACTTACACTTGCGGGGCAGTGTGGCTTTCGTCTTCGACAACCTGCCCGGGCTGAGGCTAAGCCCGAGGCGACGGCCATCTGTGGATGGGCCCCAGATGGGCCTGGTCCTACCTGGTTGATCCCGCCTCCTTGTTTGCTGCTGCCGCCCCCCCCCCCCCTGATCCTGTGGGGTTGATCTCAAAGTCTAAACTCGAACCCTCCCCAGGCCACGCCGTTTCATCCCATCTCAATCTTAACACGTCCCCGGATGTTGCGACTGTGGCTGATACCGCCCCCTCATGAGGCGATCATGCTTCCTCCATGTTAGTCATATACCTCAGACATGCCTCCTTATTGGGCGATGGCGATTGATCCCGTAGCCGCCTCACCCAAACGCCTCATTTGGCGCTGCTGAATGATCTCCTAATATCTTAAACCTGCGCTCAATAGGCGATGGCGGTTGATCCTATCATATGGTGTCCACTTCCGCATCTGAAACGCGACCACTCATTAGGCATCGAGGGTCCGGTTGACCGCCCGTGACATATCTTAATCCCGATGCATCAGTATTAACCACGGCTGATCTCATATCTGAAGCCCGACCCCTCATTAGGCCGTGCCGGTAGCTCCAACATCTTAAAACCGACCTGATGATGGGTTGATCTCCTAGCTTAAAATCGACACATCGTTTGGGATTGACGGTTGGCGTCATATCTTAAACTCGAGGCATCACTGGGCCACCGCGGTTGATCCGATATCTTGCACCCGACCCATCATTTGGCGACTGCGTTGATCTCGCACCCCAAAAAAGATGCATGACAAAGTGATGGTAGTTGCTCTCATATCATGTCCTAAACACGACCTCTCATCAGGCCAGGGCGGTTGATCTCAAATTTTAAACCCGACGCTTGACGGAGCCCAAGAAGCCAGGAGCTGCGAAGCGGTGCAGCCAGGACCGTGCAAGACGTCGTCATATGTCGTCACACAAGTTGTTCTCGATATATATTATTGCATTATGTTTTTGATCCTCAGTTCTACTTGATCACACCTGAACCCACTCAGTAAAAAAGATGCCTGACCAATCCAACCTACGCAGAGTCGGAGCAGAGAAGCTCCAAGGCTCAGGCAAGAGAAATGCAAGCTGAGTCTGTTGTGCAAAATGAATGCCGCTCGGTCCTCTTGCATTCGGACTGTGACAGACCTGATGCTCCATCACACCGCACACGCAAGTGTCTGCCAGTCTGCGCCGTCGTAAGGTCATGGCTTTCGAAGAGATCCAACGCAGCCTCGTAAGCCTCGACTTCGAAAGCTTCTAAGCCTCACTCTTAGCGCGTCGGCGGACCGTCGGCCTCGACTGCTGGGTTGAAGATACTGAGCTGATGAAAGGCTCGGCCTCGGAGGAGGGCGAAGGCCCGGAACTCTCTTCGAGCAAGGCGCTTTTTGAGCCCGCCGCCGTAGTTGTAGGCGACCTCAGCCTGCATTGCCAATCGTTCCAGCCTGGCCGAGATGCAGGTGCTGGTCTGAATCGCCGTGTCTACTGTACTCTCCGAGTTCTGCCCGTTGCAAAACATGTGGAACCACGAACCGCGAAATGCCATTTCTCAGGCAAGCCACTGCTAGTAAATCCACATGCCCTAATGCCCTAAGCACAGCAACCCCGAATGTCCGCTTGCTTGCTTCTGTCTGATGACGAAACACGACCAGGAAGACGGGTCGTCCGTCACTGCATCTTCCCACATTTGCCGCCTGCAGACCACGCAATGATCCCGCGGCACTTCATCGTCCTACAATGGTCACTGGGCACGCTGCTCTTTGGGTAGTCCATCCCAGCTGGAAGGATCCTGCGCTATGCAGTATAAGGCCAGATCCGATAACACCAGGACAGTACAATGAAGGCACTTGGTCTCCTCCTGTGACGTGTCGAGCGGAAGAAAACCTTCCCGCAGATGCAGATACTGGAGAAGCTCGGTCTTCGAACGCAACTGGTTTGTGCCTGCGCTGCGAAGCCGCAGACGGCGGTAGCGTTGCAGGAAGGTAAGGCCCTTCAGAACAAGATCATGACCTTGGTGACTTGTGTCCCGAGGTTTAACCTTAACAGATTAACCAGGCATGCCGTGTTCCTCTGCTTTTGTGATGGACGTGGCTCGGCTGCAACCGAGACCAGATCAAACGCATGCTTCTTTGCACTGACAACCAGGAAAGGCTGCTTGCGCGGCATGAGAGGCCATGCGAACTGCGGCCGATGCTGTGCCGAATTCAGACTCGGGGCGTGGCGGCACACTGCGGCACGCGACATTGAGAAGGACAGATATGCCTTGAAAGATCAAGCAACTTCAGAGAAAGATGACCGCATCCTAAACAGCAAACGAGGTGAACGTGCACGCACGACTGGTTGTAAAGTCTGCACCTTGTATCTTGTGCTTAGCTATGGCAGGCTTAACGTGGCCGGTGGCTTCTTGAAACGGTGCTGCCTCAGCCTCGGGACAAGCTCCAGATCGTGTTGCTCTCAACTGCATCTGCCAGAACTGAGGTGATGTCTGTAGCGGTGCAAAGAGCTGGCAGTGGTTCCTCACAACTCACCAGTGTCTGCAGGTGCACTTGCAGTATGCATCCAAGAATTGGGCAAAAGGTGCCAAACGATGTGCTCGAGAGTACTCGGCCACGGCAAAGGGGTACCTACTGCGGTGCCGCGGAAATCTTGCCAGAGCACAGTCTGTCGTTATAGAACGTAGTGCTACAGTCGCTCAAGTTTCTCACACACATGCGAAAACAGAAGTGAATTCTGATTCCTCTGATCGACTGTTTACTTGGGCGACTGGGGGTCCCAGTTGCCCGTTCCGTCCAAACGGTCTCTTTTCATGGTCGGCTTGCACCACGGGCAGACTGGAGTTTGCACGTAACAGAACTCCGGTCAAGCTGCTGCGAGAGTTCCTTACAAAGCCTTCAAAGAGCGGCACTGCGAGGCGATGATGCAGAAGTGCGCGCACAGCAAAGTAAGTCCGAATGCGCGGGGCCTGTGGGAAACATCAACGTCGAAAACTGCAGTCTGGTCATGGACTCCGGTGATGCCTTCTCAGCAGCTTCCGCAGCGCCCAGCCACGGACATCAGTGAACGCTGCCGCGTATGTGTTGCCTGTTTCGATCAAGCATGCAACGGCCCGTCCCAAGAATGTCGAAAGTGCATTTGCCCACTGACATTCCGTTTCCATGAAGTCTCTGCAAAGCAAGCCGGTTGGACGGTGCCCCCAGCTTGCGTTGTGTGCTTTTTCATGCTCCCACGGGGCCGCATCACCGCGGTCCTCGACTCATAGACAGGCAGGTGTTTGGGATGAACGTCTTCGAGAGGTCCTTGCCTTGTTTGCTCCTGGGCCCATCCCATCCACATCTGCATGTGTGAACCTGGGGTGCATCGCAGGTGCCACCCTTCAGACATTCACATCCTTTCGCTCTTCCGGCAGCTCGCACTGGGCACTGGGTTGCAGGCAGCAGTCTGGAGCACAAAGCAACGACATGATCACTTCCACTCCGGTCACAAATGTTGCGAAGATGCTTGAACACCACCTTAAGTCAAGGGAAGTGTGGAGCATCCTTTCCCTCACAAATGTCGCTTAGCTTTGCACTCGCCATAGTCGTGCCTCGAAGCCTGCACAAAAACATGGAAATGGAAGTGCAAGTCTGCTAGGCGGTTCCTTTGACTTCTCCAGCTCCGCGTGTCTTTGCGGCAAATCACAGGCCTACGGAAAGCGACAGCATCGCCAAATCCCTCATCATACGCCGCTTTACCTCCGTGCCCAAACACTTTGCTGGTTGCTCGCAGCAGCTGACCTGGGGAAAGGGCCGGATTCCTCTGCGCCACGAGTTTGCGGTTGGAGAGGATCATCTCGCAAACTTCAACCGCCTCCAAGGGGCAAAACGGAGCAGAAGCTGCCCTCTAAGCCGCCGCTCAGAGCGCCTGTGCAGCTTGGACGGTCCCCTCGCGAGACTTGGACTCCTTCGTGGACCGCGCAAAGGTGCCTCGACGAAAAGCACGGCATGCATTGCAGAGCACAGTGTCACAGTGTCAGAAGAAGAGCGGAAACAACTAAGCCCGGCACGAATGATCACCACCCCGTGCTTGACCATGGTAAGGTAGGCTTCAAAACCGAACCTGCAACAGTCAAGTGTAATCTGTTTGGAATTCTCGGTCCCTGAGACCATGCTGAGGCGTTGACATGTCCTCAATTGTCTGGATCCCCAGATGTCGTCTCTTGAACTTGTGGATCGTCGCTGCCTGTGCTGTCTTTACTTTTCCTGGTTTCCGTGGCCGTAGAAGATTTCAGATGCAAACGATGCATCACATGGAACAACTTGAAGGCACGCAGCCTGCAGCACCTCGTCTGCCTCACTAATGCATGGAAGATGGATCACCTGCGTTTCCGTTGACTTCTGAGCTTCCTACTGCTTTCGAAGCCGATGCCTTCCAGCGCAGCAAACGACAGTGATTACGCTTGAAACGTGCCGTGCCGCTCATTTCGGCCTTCGGAGCTTTTGCTGGAAGAAGCAGCAGGCTGTCTTGACCTTGAGCTGATGACTTGATTCCAAGCCGCCAAGGCATCGGAGCTGTTATCGAGCACTGGGCCTGCGTCTTCAGCCTGACCGGTTCTACCTCCAGCGCCGGACTCCTGCTGGACTCGTGGCTCTGCTGCGCTCCGCTTGCCTAGGCATGGAAGCCCTAACAAGCCGGAAGCCTCATCTTCGGCATTGGGCTTCGACGTGTTGGACTTTCCGTCCTCCGTGCTCCGCTTTGGGTTGCTTACTTACTTCAGTGTTTGCAGCTGCGATCCTCGAGGGCCGGAGCTGAGCCCTCCTTTGCGCTGGTACTTCGGGCGACCAGTCGCTTGAAGTCAAGCTCACAGTCGTACCTGGGAGGGCGACAGCGCAACAACAAAATGCTTTCTCAAACCTGAAAAGATCTCAGCAGCCAACACAAGATGACGGAACTTCGCAAAAAAACGCAGCAGCTCCTGGTCATCGGTAACAGAAACAACCAGATTTTTTTTACAGTGGGCGAACACGGCCCACCTCTTTAGTCCCCACATGTTCGTGAGCACGCTCCTGCCCCGACATCCGGGCAGCAGTAGTGTGGAAACTTCAGTTTAAGTGGCATTCCATATCTTGACATGCAATCGAAGCTGCAGGAAATGCATTGACCAGGTCGGATGTCTGAGCTGCGGGCCATGTCTTTAGCAACTGCAGCGGCGCTGAGCGTCCGATCAATGGTTTCAGACAGCTCCTTCTTGGAACATTTTGTCGACTTTTGGCTGCAGACGATGTCGAGACGACCTGCCTTGTAGAGGGACTTTCGCTCTGCTGTGCTCAGTGGGGGTGGTAGAGCATTGCTGCGCTGTAGATCCTGTACAAAAGCAGAAGGACAACACGAAGCTCTTCGGTACGTCATGCGGAACCTCGTAGCTCAAGCAACTCAGCACTTGATCTGCTCGGCTGGAGTTGCCAATTTCCTGGCAGCGGATGTGAGGCGCCACTACGGGCACCAAGCAGAAATCCCATTTTGGCCGAGACTCGATCCAAGCCTCTGCCGCACGAACCCTGCCGATAGGGGTGAGGCATTGCTTGCGGGGTAGCGATAGTAAACTTCGCCGTCTTGCCTCATGTTGCGAAGATCTGCCTCTGTTCTTTCCCCAGGGTCCTCACGGAATCGATCAACACTTGCAGCAATAGCAAGCGATGCTTGCTCAAGAGATTCTATAGGCCTCCAGCAGGGCTTCCAATTGAAGTGCTGCTTCTTCCACCTGAAGCAGGCTTGGCGCCACTCTGTCTGTCCTTGATCATCCCAAACACTAAACAAGCCTAAATCTCGAGCTTCTGGTGTTCTGTCAGTCGTTTCAGCACTCGAAGCAAGTGGAATGTCCCTTCTGGAATCTACACCAGGAATGTCAAAGGGCTACGAGCCGATGTGGCTGCATTGATCGGGAATGTGTAGCAAGTATGTTCTCAGAAACTTGTTCAAAGGGTCGAACTTAGACCGGAATCAAATGTGTGAGAGTGAGTAATGACTCCTTGGCTCCGCCTGCCCCAGTCGCCAGCGGCACATGGCTTGACGCTCGCGGAGGTCCACTTCCAAGCTGGGGCAGTCTTCCAGCCTGTGCAGCTGCGCAGACATGCCCGCTTCATCTCCCAGATGCCGTCACAGCTAGGTGCAATGCAATGTCAGGATTCGGTGAGCTTGCTCGGCAAACCAGCGCCGAACCTAAGAGCTTAGCGTCACGCCACACTGCGTGCTCACAAAGCTACAAGATGCCAAAAGACACTGCTAAATACTGCTCAGCCATTAGCATTTGCCCTTCGAAGCCATCGTCTGCTGACCGTGTCGGCTGTCGTGCCTTCGTCTGCTAGCATCGCCTCAGCTTTGACAGAAAGTCATGCCATGTCGGTGGGGCCCGCGCAAGACCAACTGGAAAGGGACGGACTCGCACTGACTGTTTTGCCGACTCGCAACATCCACCAGAAGCAGGTGAAGGTCGGAGTGCGTTTCAGGTGGGTGTGTCAGAACCACCTGGCCACGGATGTGGAGGTCAGCATTTTGCTTGCGAGAACACGAGCTCTTTGCATGCTTTCGTGTGAGCCGCCTCCAATGCACAGTTGTAGAGGGGATCCTCGCTGATGTTCTCGTTCCTCAAGGGCAGTACCCTCGATCCAGTTCTGTATACCCGAAGTAGTGCATGCATGTCTTGACTGTCTATGATTGTTTCGCATGCTTGTGAGTGATTCTAAGAGACAAGCGAATGAATTGTGCAGGTCAGCCAAGCCGCAGTCACAGTCAAATCGAGAGTCTTCTACTCAAGACTGGCATGTAACCATGCTGTGCAGATCTCGATGTTGCCAAAGCTAACAACACGCAGGTATAACAAGCGTGTAGCAACCCCTGCCGAAGACTGATGGTGCAAACGCGCTCAAGAATGTGAAAAACTAGATGACGCAGATAGGTAGCACATGCGCGGCACCTGTTGGTTGTCTGTCAGCTGCAGCGACTCCAACACCCGTGAGTATTTGTCGTAACATGGCATTTGTTGCCGATCGCATCTGCGCTTTATTGGATGCCAGGCTTTCCACGTGCTTCGACCAATCCTAGTTCGGACGGCGTGCTCGCCTTGATCTAATTCAGAGCAAATGTATGCGGCCCAACGGCAGCACATTCATGGCTGTTGCCAGCACTCAAGATCACAGACTAGTAACGACAGGACCACAGAAATAGAAATGCTGCGCATGGTTGCCTTATGTTGCCTTGTGCAGCCTGACTGAAGAACCAAAAGGGCGAAAGCTGGGGGGACGGGAGACGGACGTGGCAGCAGTGCATTGCAAATGGGAAGTGATGCTGAAGCGGATGGGAATGATACAGTGCTAGTTGTATGCTGTGACGCAAACTGGTCGGAACGCGGCTATCGAAGCAAACCTGACAGAAACAACTCATGCGTTGACATGAAAGATAAACATTCGCTGAACCTTCCTGAATGGCAAGAAACATCCCAGCAACGTTTGTTTACCCTCCGTTCCCAATCGTGGATGCTGGTGTTTGTCAATGGCTCTGCTGTACCCTTGACTTGAGGGGAGGCCGGTTGCAAAAATTAACGCTCACCAAAACAACCGAAACACGCACCAAACGAGCAGACCACGCACCTAGCCGACGGGGGCTGCACCAAAACAAATGCAAGTGCGCCAACTTTTTTTGCTCGCTCGGCCCGGAGAGCATTGCATGTCCGGCGGTCCTTGCCATGAACGATTCCACTCGCGAACAGAGGTGTCAAGTATCTCTGGAATCTACACTGCCGACGTTCTCGACCGACTGTGCTTTATCGACCAAAGGCTACGGACCTTGGACCGGATGTGGATACAGGAGCAAACACAAACGTCAATGAATTTGTCCTCCGGAACTTCCATTCCCGGTCACCTCGGAAGAGCATGCACAACAAGGATCTGATCTGACCGGCACTGACCTGACCTGAGCTGACCTAAGCTGACCTGAGCAGACCTGACCTGATCTGACTTGCTGTGACCTGGACTGTCTGATCTGAGCCGCGGTTTTTTGAATCTGATACGATCTCACCTGACCTGATCTGATCTGACCTGATTTGCCTGGCTTGACCTCACCTGACCTCACCTCACCTAAACCCTGATTCCTGAAACCTCAACCCTGACACTACTTGTAGCAGGAGTACATTGAAATTCTTTAGATGTTCTGAGTCTGATAACCCCCTTCATCAACTGTAAATGCAAGTCCATCGTCCTGAAGATTGCGAAACCATTGTCACCTACAAGAGATGGGCTGCAGCCCAAGGTCACCAAGTCCAGCGACGCAATCACGCATTCATGAGCCGCCAGAGACTGTCAAAAGCGCGATCGCGGGCCTCCAAGCCACGTTTCACCACTTCGCCAATGGCGAAACGGTGCTGCAACGTGGCGCCCGGTACCTGGATGTGCGTCTTGCAGTTTTGGAAGTTGCAAGTGTCAAGCTTTCGCTACATTCGTGCTTTCGGATCAGAAAGCCCAGCGGCGCAGAGACTCTGGCGCTTCGATCCGGCCCAGCTGCAGCGCGCGCATGTCCAGCCAGCTTCGTGCTCACAGGACATGTTTAGTGGCAAGCAAAGCCTAAACCCGAAAAGGTGGAAGTCTGTTGCCTCACTCCGAGTGCTGGCCTGCCGCAAAAGCTTCTCAGTGGCCTCCTCTCCCTGACCGAAGTCAACATGTGGAGCACAAGTGTCAAGGTCAAGATCTGGAATATGCAAGGACATGTCGGCGCGGTGGCTTTCAGAAGAAACAAACCTGGAAGCCATGCCTCAGGATGCAAGAGCGCATTGCGTCGCCGCCATTGTCGAAGCTCCTGCCAAGACCATGCAAAGCAAGTAGCTTCAAAACGTTTCAACGAATGTGCAGCATGGGTAGGTGGTGGTAACGTTTGCGTCTCCTTGGCCGACGGCTCGTCTGCAGCTGAGGACATGGCTGGACATCGGCTAGGACTTCATGTTTCTGCTGCTGTACCAAGCTAAGAAACAGTTGCTGGGGGTTTCCATCCGAACACTTATCGGCCTGCAATGGCTTCTAGAGGAGCCTGGTCTGCTTCGTGAATGACCAAGACTTGCCCAGGCGGCACTACGGACACTAGCGGTGAGTCTTGGTACACCACGACACCATCCTGAGAAGGAGCTGAGTTGTCAAGGATTCGACCGTTGTGTCGCTGTGCAGCTGCGAGTATTCCGCTTGTTCTTGCCAAGTCTGTGGTTTGGAAGCTTGGTGACTGCAGCAACTTCTTGGTGAGAGTTGGGGTCGTTTTGGTGCGCTGGTCATGGGTCTTGGTGCGGGTTTGAAGGCTTGGTTGTGGTTTCGGGCTGCAATCAGGCCCTCCATCCGATCGGTAGAGCAGCCTTCCGAATCCATCTGTGCATAGGGTGCGGGGGGGGGTCCCCCCTGCTCCTGATGCGTAGATCGTGACATATCAGGAGCAAGGGTCCCTAAACTCTTCTGGCCCCAAAACAAACCTGCCAACAACAACAGCTGCAAGCTCCGAAGGACCTAGATTCGTGACTGCTGCGAGCAAGAACCGCGGATTTCAAAGGCAGATCCTGTAGCATCGACGAGCGCTTCGGATGAGGGGTTCGATGCTGGTGCATTGGCAGTGTTGGTAGTAGCGGTATTAGAAGTCTTGCCGCCATCAGCATTGCTGCTCTCGCTATTAGCGCTCTCAATTTTGGATTGCTTGGCAGCAGCCTCTTAGTTCCACTCCTCGTGACTGAGCTGCTTGCGGAATCTGGCACATGGCCACAGCCAGCATTGCAACAATATCGACTGGGCAGTTGTGGAGCTTCTTCAGCAGTACCTACATTGACATAGAAAAGAAAAGTCAAAGTTGACCAATGTATTCGTGACAATGATACGTGCAACCACTGTCTGCTCTGAAGCAGAGATATGCATGACATGCCAGCACAACTTCTTGGGTTATGCACGTGCCTTGGGGTTCGACGGATGCAGAACCAGGTCGGTGGAACTGCTTGCGCCTGGCAACTGTGCGCTACGGAAACGTGGACAAGGCGTAACAGAAGGGTCCAGATTGCATCAGGCGAGAGCCGTGACGGCCGTAAGTGCCTGAAGAGTGTGCCTTTTGCGGAGGTGTCAGGTGCAGCAGCTCCTTCAATAGCCGAGCACACCTGCAGCACGAGCGTCACGACGCTGCGTCTGAGACTGTAGCCCACTTCGACGCTCAAGAAACCACAAAAGAAGCCCTGGTTCTGTCCCAGACGAGGGACTTCTCGAACTCCCGCATTTCTATCAAGACCTGATGTAGCTCACAATGCGATGGAGTTGAATTTGTTTTGTCGTGTCGAGGGGTGCGGGAGCCGCGGCCTCGGCAAGGATGTTCAGGACGTTCAAGTCAACTCTGGGTGGATTCGCCTGCATCAACTTGGGCTGACTGTCCTTGCTCGAACTTCATGCTGTCGCATGGCAGGGTTCTCCCTTCGCTTAGAACGAATGAGTCTATTGGCGTCTGCTTCAGACTTGCTCAGCAAGGATCAGAAGCTAAAGCACATCTGGAGACGGCGGCTTCGAAAGCTGGACCAGGCATGGCCACCCACATGTGCAGAGTTAACATGGGGTTTCGGCTCACAGCCCGGGGGTTCCAAGTCGGTGCAGATGACTTCTCTGGCTGTGCCCTTGTCCGATTCCGAAATCTACTGATCTTCCAGCAGTAGATGAGACGCTAGTCTTAGTACGACCATGGCCAAAGCCATCTGCACCAACACGCCAAAGCTGTCACTAGATAGAGCGAGGCCGCCGTGGTAGCTGGCAGGCTGTCTATGTACATCCGTGTCTTCGTTAACACAGAGATCGTCGACGTCCAATGAACGAGTCTGGGTCATGTGTGGCCGATGTTGTACAAATTCGGGACTGACGATCTGCGCATGTCGTGCAATGCAGCCTCAAGCCATTCAATCGAATGGATCGGGCGATGGCGCGCGCAGTTCTTAGTTCCACAAGCTCTTATGGTGACGGGCTCTCTTCATGGATGAGTTTCCGTTCTTAGAGCCCATTCTTCCATCATTCACGAACTTTCAAGCCTGCCCGTGGCCCTCTGCATCTGCGGCAAATGCTGAGTGTCCATGGGAGCGAGGTCATCACGGTCATAACATGCATGTTACCTTGCTGACATGGAGTCCTCGCTGGAGCTGTCGCTGCTTCCTGACCCGATGGCTGGCTCGCTTGGTCCTGGCAAGCTTTGTATGTCACAGCGGCACATACCCCAGAACCGGTCAGCTGGAAGGATTGTCACAACGACATGATAATCGGCTGGTGTGAGAGGGTGCTACATGTGTGTGCATGCGCCGATTCCCTGTATCTTAAGTCACTTGTCCTCTGGTGCCCGTCCATGTGGCAGTAGAAGCAGGTCTCCGCGCTATCTCGGCATATCCCACCTGTGTGTGAACTCTGCGAGCAGCAGAGAGACCACATGTTGCGACATACGTATGCGTGACACAAGTTTTGTGCGACTGAGATGCGAAGGTGGAAGACACAGGGTCGACAGGTGCCACTATTGTGGGCATCTTCGCCACGAAAGACACCGGTCTTGACCTTAAGTTGGCCGCAAGCCAAGTGCCAGCAGATGCTGTCCAGGATATCAGCTTTCAACCACATGCTCTTGTCGAACTGTGGAGGATGACTTCCAATTCTTCTTTCTCGCTCCCAAAGCCTCTGGGGGCTTTGCAATCGGTGGCAGTGAAGCCGAGCCCTGCAAAGCCTGAGCCACGGCACTCTGGTCGCGTGCCTGCTTTCGACAGCAACCGGACGGCCTTCTGAGCAGCTTCCACCAGGCACGAGCTTCCAGTGCGGCCCAGCATCAAAAACCTTCATATCAAATTAAGTACATTGTGAGCATGTCTCTGAAAACTGCGCACCTACTGCCAACTGCGGCTCCGAAGCATTTGGCGCCACATATCTTGCACCAGTCCGTCAACTGTGTCGTAGGCGTCTTGGAACCTTTGCGTATGACATCTGACTTCTTGTAACCTAGCAGAACAAGAAAGTTTGATGCACCTTCGCAGGGTCGAAACTGCTGCCACGAGTCTGGTACAGATTCCTGCCCGTATTTTCCACAATGTGGCCTCCTTGAAGAACGGCGTGATCCACCAGCCTGTCCTCAGTCGAGAACAAGCAGGCTTCACAACGTTGGTCTCTTGGTATCCGTTGAAGGATAAACTGCTCCGCAATTCAAGCTGGGTTGCTCTGGACAAGGATGAACATGCGTCTGCCGGTCTGCGAAAGATCGAATCCACAACCCGATCCTTGTGGCAGCCACATCCGCGTCTGGCTAGATCGAAATATCAGGAGGGCAGCCACTGCCACATGAACATGTACTTGACGGCTGGAGTCTGCCCTGTCCGCTGGGATCCTGAGGAAGTCTGCGATCTCGCGCCTGTGCTGGGCCAGTTCTTCATGGGCGACTTTGAGCAGAGATCCGGGCAGTTTCCCCGCAAACAGTTGCTGCGACATGCTGCAAGAAAGATGTTCGAGTACCAATCGGCACCGGCAATGGGGCCCAGTATGACTTCCGGTGCGCTGATGCGAAACTCACTGCATCCGCCAAGTCACATTTCTGTCCGCACATCCTGTGGATCCAAAGAACCTGCAGGGATGAATCGAATGTTGAAATGCCACTTGGAAGCGACATGAAGCGACGGTGCTACGCTGTCCTGCCCCAATCCTAAACCGAGCCAAGAAAGACCCGAACCATAGAAGAGTTGCTCATCTTGGCAGATCCACCTAGGCGGTCAGCCATGCAGAGCCGCACCTTAACACATTCTGTGACAACACAGGCTACTTCAAAGTCGTAGATGTCCGCAAGGTCAGGTCTTGGGGTAGGGTCTAGGGCAGCGCAGGGCTCGCCCAGGCTTAGCTGGGCTAGCTGCAGGGGCATAGACAAGACTTAACATGATTATTCTTGTGCTTTTGTAGTGGGTTGTAGGCTGGAGTTAACATGACTCGTAGCACAGGGGCTACAGGCAATACTCAGCAGGATTATTCTTGTTCTGATGGGTTGTATCCCAGGTCTGGTAGGATCGGTAGTGGAGTGCCTAAAGACAATACTCAGCATGACTATGCTTGTTCTGATAGGTGTTTAGTTGAGCGGTAGTAGAACCAATACACAATACTCAGCATGATTGCTCTGGGTTTAGTGGGTTGTAGGATGAGTCTAGTAGGATTGATGACTATTGTCGTTTCCAAGTCGTATTCGAGAAATAGTACATTTACTACTGGCGGGCCAGAGACCACAGTCAGCTTGATGGTTCTTGTTTTGTTGAGTTGTCTTCCAGGCTGCCCCTCCAACCCTCCACTTGCTCGAGCTGTGCAAGCTCGCTTGAAAATAACATCCTGCCGGCAAAAACAGAACACGTATGCACCCTTTCACAACCCCTGATAAAAACATTGTGGTTGCAAATGGGGGGCTGCCCCCTGCTTTCATTTTAAGCCGTGCCGTGGGTCGTTCGCGGGCCACGGGCCGCGGCCCGTTGAAAAGTTGGGGGCGGGTTTAGCAAGTGTGAAGAATTGGAGTCACCTAACTGGGGTGCGGGTCTAGGATAGCTGATGAGAGGCACGCTTACAAGAACTGGGATCGCCCGCAGGAGCGCCAAAAGGAAGCCGGGTGATGTCGGGTCTAAGACGTCTGATCTACCGGCATCGCCACAAGAGTGGGCGGGTTTCAGATCTGTGAACAGCCGGGAGCGCCAAATGAGAGGGCACGTTGAAGAAACGCGATGAATCGGAATCGCCAAAGGAGGGAACGACTAACATATGTGATGCACCCGAAACGACAAATGGAGGGGCCCGTTCAAGACATGTGAGCAGCCGCGATCGCCAAATGAGGGGCCGGCTCTTGGCTATGTGATCAACCGGGATCGTCATATGAGGGGCGGTTAAGAAGAGTGATCAACGGGGCTCGCCAAATGCGGGGGCCTTCAAGATGTGGTGGGTCGAAGTCGCCAAAGGAATAGGCGAATGCAAGAAATGTGATCAGCCCGGGTCGCCAAATGAGAGGGGCGGTCCTGAACCGGAATCGCCAAATGAGAGGGCATGTTTGTGAGACGGAACCGCCAAACGAGGGGGCCTGTTTGAGATACATGGTGAACCAGAATCGCCAGATGAAGGGGCGTGCTTCAGATTAATTTGATGAAACGACACCGCCAAAACATGGGGGCATGTTTAAGACATATGATGAACGGCATGGCCAAATAAGAGGACGGGTTAAAGATCAGCCGGAACCACTCGTCTAAGCTGTATGATGAGCCGGCATCGCCAAAAACAAGGAGCCTAACCCTAGCCTAGCACCTCGACATCGGCCCAAGGTCTAGCCCGAGGCCTGCCCTTAGCCTAGCCAGCCCTTGGCCTAATCCAGGTCTGCCTTTAACGCTAGGCCTACTCGTAGTCTACCGGTACGCACTCGCCTAGGAATGGAGCCTCCCATATTCAGACTTCGTGAAACTCTTTGACGGATTCGAGGCTCTTGGAGAACTTCGTTGAATCGACAGGATCGGAGACAATTGCGGAAGGGATTCGATCCAATCGAAGCTTCTGCTGAAATTGCCAACGAATGCGAGCCATCAGCTCGAATCGACGTGATTGCATGCCTATCAAGTTGAAAACCGATAAGCGCTTTGTTTGTAATTTCGAGAACAGCATTCGATAGTTAGAGTTGCACTACATCCGACAGCCTTTGTTGCGCGTTTCCTGAACGCAGGTATTTCGATCAGAGTCGAGTCGAGCTTCTGGAGACAGGTTGAGAACAGGCCGAATAGCTCTGGCACCGGGTCGCATTGTCCGGATAAAGCTCCTCTTCCCTAGCCCACGCAGCAGCGTGCTCGATGTAGTTGCCGAAGAGACACCACCCCTGCGGAACGTAGTTTGTGTAAGGCTTGCTTGTAAAGGAACTGGAGACCAACGAGCAAATAGCATTGCATGTGGTCTGGGTGGCCTATTCGAAGATCTTACTCTCTAGTGAGCAGCCCCGGTTCAGACTCCTGCTGCGCCACAATTTTCAAGAAGTTGCCAAAGTCCAAGTCCAGCGACACATCAGGCTCCAACCTCAGGTTGCGATTGAACGACACTTCTTGCAAGCCCGCAGCGTTGTGAAGATTTGAGTCTGCTGACCAGGTTTATGCATGCGTTCTGTTCTATGGTTTTTCTCAGAAGTTTCAGAGCTTTCCGTTGCCTTCTTCTTAGGGTCGAAGTTTTCGCTTCAGGCTTCCGGCTTTAGAATGAGGGGTGGAGGGGGGTAATAATGACATGTTCGACCTTCATTTTGCCCTTCCTGCAGGTTGACATGCAACCTCCGGGGTTGTAGAGCAGCTTAGGATTTGTAGCGCTCCGTCTCGACAGGGTTGTCGCCTTTAGCCTTAGGTGTTTGGGAGTTTGAAGCACCTGGGGTCCAGCATGCTCAAGTCTCGACGGAGTTGTAGCATTCAGCGTTAGGTGTTTTACACATCAGAGTAGATGTGGACGTACAGGTTCAACAATGTAACCCTGAACACACCTGAACGCACATGGCCTGCATCTCAACAACAACGGCTCACAGTGCACAAACCATCCGATTTCCAACATTCGACCATGTTTGTGATCTCCGAAAGTGAGGCAGTGATGCAGACATATACAGACGAAACATCGACATACGTGGTAAAAACCGAACTGCCCTCAAAACTTCAGGGCTCAGTGACCCCCCACGGCGAGGTTTATCTTCGCAGGCCCACTGTGGCTTCCGTGCCCGAATTGCGTGGCTAGCAGCTGTCCAAGGGTCTGCCACCACACTGCGAAAGCGTGCCGAGGGTCAGCGACCAAAACCAGCACTTTTGGGGGAATGCCTTGTCTCAGCGCAAGCCGCCTACCCGTTTTAGACCCCAGACTGAATGCCGAACAGGCTTTCCGGACGAAGGCTGCTTTGGCTCATTTGCAGACAAGCGTCTGTCGGAAGCGGACTTCGGAAAGGGATACCGGCATGGAAACCTAGGAAGTCAACGACTTTGCAACCAACATCCACCAACTTCGGACCAATAAATCTGGAGGTATTCGTCACGAAGAATGACAGCAGCCAGGTGGCAAGTGGGGGAAAGCATGTGTCTTGAAGCAGCGCCGGAAATGCCAGGCGTTTGCCTCACCGAGGTACTCGTCGACACCCCTTTTGGAAGCGCCTGCTTCCTCGGAGGCAGATGAGGTTTGGAAGGAATGACCAACAAACTTTCTTGCTGGGTAGCACCAACGCAAGAGAATCGGAGCCACAGGGCCAGCAGAAGGAGTAGGGGTAGTTTAGTAGAAGTCGTTGTCGCCGACGTCGCACCAGTAGCAGCAGCAGCAGGACCAAGAGGAGAAATTAATACTGGAAGTAGCAGTAGCAGTAGGGGCAGTCGTAGGAGCAGTGGTGGTGGTAGTAGTAGTAGTAGTAGTAGCAGTAGTAGTAGTAGTAGTAGTAGTAGTAGTAGTGGCAGTAGTAGTGGCAGTAGTAGTGGCAGTAGTAGTCGTAGTAGTAGTAGTAGTAGTAGTAGTAGTATGCCAGCGGTCCTCATGTTGACAGTCACAACCATCATGAGATACCAAATTATCTTATTCCCTTGTCGAGATGGGAGGGAGGTGAGCTGTGGGTATCTAGTCCTCGTGGCAATGTCCAGCTTGAGCAGGGCGGCCTCAGTGGTCGCATCGTTCATATCAGCTTACCGTACGCCTCGTTCAACGCTAGGCGCAAGCATGCGGTTCTACCTTGGCAAGGAAACAGATTTTTGCTTGGTGCCTTTCACATTCGGGAGGATTGGCGGATGCACGAGGAGTCCAGCAGCTTTCTTCAACAGCAGGGGTTCCAGCTGCAACATCTGCGAAAGGCAGAATCAGATCCGTATATGTGAACATGGCAGTCTTGACACGGGGATTGTCAAAAGCACGATTGCTCATGCTAATATGCACACCAATTTTGCTCCCACATTTCGGAGCCATGACGGTGGAAGGTACGTGATTTCATTCGGCTGCGATGACCACTGATCCAAAGGATTCTGCATAGTTCGCTCGTCTTGTACATTGTGTAATTTTGTACATGCCTGTATCTTTGAAGGTGGCATCTGCTCAATGGGACCTCGGTCCGGGATGCTCCTTCACATGTTAATCTTTATAGCTTGGCCGGATTCTGCTTTAGGCATCGTCCATATGGTCATGGTTCTGCCTCGCTGTCCTACGGATGGCCGGTCGTAGACTGCCCAAGGAGGCACGTAAGGACGCCTTCGGACGTTCACGCTTGGGAAGGTAAGTAGTAGTAGTAGTAGTAGTAGTAGTAGTAGTAGTAGTAGTAGTAGTAGTAGTAGTAGTAGTAGTAGTAGTAGTAGTAGTAGTAGTAGTAGTAGTAGTAGTAGTAGTAGTAGTAGTAGTAGTAGTAGTAGTAGTAGTACTAGTAGTAGTAGTAGTAGTAGTAGTAGTAGTAGTAGTAGTAGTAGTATCAGCAGCAGGAGTAGTAAGTAGTAGTGGTAGTAGTAGTAGTATCAGCAGCAGGGGTAGTAGTAGTAGTAGTAGAAGTAGTAGTAGTAGTAGTAGTAGTAGTAGTAGCAGTAGCAGTAGCGGGAGTAGTAGTAGTAGTAGTAGTAGTAGTAGCAGTCGCAGTAGCAGTAGCAGCAGCAGCAGCAGGAGGAGGAGGAGGAGGAGGAGTAGTAGTGGTAGTGGTAGTGGTAGTAGAAGTAGTAGCAGCAGCAGGCCAGAAACGGATCCACGAGGCAGCTTCTGGCCACTTGTCAAGAAATGCTCCGTCTGGAGGCGTCATAGAGCAAGCTGTTTTCGATGATGTTGCTCTACCAGATGTCCCACGTCCCGTGTCGAAGTCACCATCATCACTGCCACCGTTTTCCGGCACGAATCTCGGCAGCTGGTACCTTCTTGTTACGTTTCGTGACTTCTCGCCTCATGCCGCGGAACACTTCGACGTCGTTTATCTGAGAGAGTCTTCGTTACTTGGAGTCACAACTTGGGGACAGTGGACCTTCGGAGCCTGGGCTTCAAACGAATTTATGGCAGGGCAATCAGCAAAGGCAACGGCCCAACACACAAATGCTACCCAATAATTACTGCACGCTCTGTCAGCAGAGATTCGCAGTAGTACGGCTTGTCCAGCAGGCCTCCTTCCCATGGATTGTCGCGGCCTTGGGACCGCTAGAATTTTGACCATCTACAAGGACTGCAGCTCTCTTGCGAAGGTACGGCAGGCCCGGCCACTTGTGCAACACACGATTTTAGGGTCAAGCCAGCGGATTCCTGAACGAGACTAAGCTGATATTCCTGTCGCAACATGAGATTGCCGGATGACGAGGAGCTGGTTTTGATATCACGTCACTTGGGGCACTTATCAGGAAGCGAGATAAATGGCCTGGAGCATGCTAGAAGCCCCCCCCTTCACTGGACTCTGGCAAGTAAAAGCCAAACTAAGCAGATAGCCTTCCACCAGACAGGTGAGAACTCGCTGCAAGCCTCCGGTAGGTGGCTCAAGACTCAGGGCTGGCTCGTCCGCCGCTTGTTCCCCATCTTTAGTGGTGGCGGCTTTGTGCAAACGTCGAAGAACAAAGGTCCACCCATTTGTGCCTCGAACCGGAAAGTTGGACACGAGGAAGACATCTCCTGGACTTCTGGGGACACCAGGCCAAGAAAATAAGCGGTACCAACCTGCAGGCCGGCCTTCTCTGCCTTCCCACTGCTGCAAGCGTCGAATCGCCGACTCCTTTATGAAGCTCGGGTAGTAGATCCTCTGCAGGAGCTTGTGAGATCATGGGAGCTCCTGTCGAGACCACCTCACCGGCACAATGGATGCAACATACTGCAGGCTGCAGCGCCCCTCGATGGGCTGCCACTGCAGGATGTTCTCTATCCGGGTGTTCGGCTCATCAGCTAACATGGCACTGGCAGTGAAGTGACCAAGTATTACGGATGTCTGGGCAAGTGTGACTTGGATGCTGTCATTCTGAGCCCTGCGGCCAAGTTAACACATGACTGGTTGAGTATATGAGTATACTTCCAAGCCAAAAGGCTGAGCCACTGCAGCGATCAGACTTGCTCACTTGGCACTTCACAGTCCCTTAAGCCTTAGGCAGTGCATCGCGCTGTACCACTGCATGAGGGATGCCCGCTGCCTCACGGCCTTTCTGTACACAGCTCTCCAGCAAGGCAAGACACTCCTTCCAGCGATGCCTGGGCATTTCACACATTGAACCTGAAGCTTCCACGTTCGCTGGCGTGCCTTCTGACGAGCTTCTTGGCCACCTCAACCGCCAGCTGTGGCTCCTCTGTCTCCTTCTTCGTGCAAAGGTGCCGGGTGAGGCCCGAGTTGCGAAATCGAGTCGAACACAGCAGAACCAGAAAACATGTCTTCAGACTTGGGCTGGCCTGCTTTTGTCTTACTGCATGCGCCGGTACACAGAATGGCTTGAACCAAGGTCGTACCGCACTTCTTTCCGGCACTACTCCGCCCTTGCCTCGTAGAGTTCGTACAAGACCTCTATGCCCTGGTCGTGGCTGCCCTGCGCTCAAGGCATGATTGAGCACCCATCAAGCCTAAGACTGCAACTCCTGCAAAGCTGTGCCTTCTGAAAGAGCAGCTTGGAGAGTTCCCAAAGCGACCTCCAGTCGTCCTCCGTGCGTGAGCCTTTTGTGCTCGAGGCTTGGCTCTGGACTTCGTCACGAGACCCCTCGCTCCCTCCCTTCCGCCTCGAGGTGGGAGGCTGCGCTTAAAAGCATAGCAAGCCTGCGCTGCCACTGACTCGCGGGGCGACTCTGACATGGTCGTACTTGTTCCGTTGTAGACTACGAAACTCCACTTTAAATTCCGCTCATGTCATGACCGCGGAGACATGTCGCACATTCAGTGTCCGTAATAAGACCAACAGTGAGTATGAACCATACACCGCTTGAAGTAATGATGCCACAAATATCCACAAATGATTGCTTCAAGCACACACCGGTGGCCCTCCACATTAAGTAGACATGGTACACCAGACGCTCCTGCACTGAAACTCACAAAATACATGCAATGCACTTGTAATCATTGTAATCAGGCATGGGGAAGGCTATTGTCAGGCGCATGTACAGAAGCATGCACAAACGCGTCCAATTGGGTGCAAGTCGGACTAGGTCATTCATGCACCACAGTGGTCGAAAGTACGGTATTCCACCTGAACTGAAGCAACATGGACATGCACCGAGAGTCAAGCGCGACAAAGACTGAGGATACGCGCATGAACGGCAGCATCCAAACACACGAGGTCTCCCTTCACTATCTGATGAAACTGACTGTTCAGACGACAAGTTGGACGCAGGGGGTTACACTAGCTTATCAGCTTGCCATCGCATCAACACCACGGCCAACCAATCGGTTAGTGGACGAGCTACGCATGACCTAGGCATCAATGCCTCAAACAAAACCACAGTCTCGACGATGAGGCACGCTCACGGATTCGACCCTCTCCCGCCGCCTGGTCGACCAGCGATAAGCGGGTGGATGCATACCCAATCTTCTGCCAAAGCGGCCGAGCCTAGGTTCAGGCGACCATGCCTTGCAAAAAGCAGCTGTTTCGATAGAAAGCAGTGTGCCGTTGTATCAATGTGTGTGCGCTTGCTTGCTTATCTTCTTTGTGATTTGCGGTGCAGGTAACTAGACAGGTGGTATGTATGAGACTGCGAACATATGGGTGGTTGTCAAAATTAGGGTCCCTTTTTGGGTCCCTATTAGAGTACGGCACCTATTATTGAGGGTACCCAAAAAGGAACCCTGATTTTGACAACCACCCATATCTTTTTGTTGTATCTGTACCGAAAGACATGTACGTACTACATCAGACTTCTTGGACAAGGAACGTCAGCTGCAGGCTTCGTGAAGTAGGCGCACAGGATCAAATGGTGAATTGCCTCTCCGGTAGCTGGGTCTCCCTGGACTCTAGAATGGGCAAGCTGGTGAGGCGCGGCCTTCTTCTCCTCCCCGAGCTCCGTGTAGACTTGGTGCAGGACGTGGTATGGGTCGGCCAGTCCGGGCTGCTCTCCTTGGAGGCATCGAAGGGAAACTGCGCTCGGAAGGGCAGACAGTGCAGCCCGCAGCCGGGAAGCGGATCACGGCCCGCATCGTCTCGATGGCGTCGGCGAACTCTCCGCAATAAAATTGTTGCTGCCCACGTGAGAGCAGTGCGCGGGCTTCAGGCGTTGCCTCGCTACAAAAAATCGGTTGACTATCTTGTGAGCTCTTGCATGCCTCATTATAATTTGCAAGGTTTCTGTTGAATTCCCATGCCACCCTACCCTCAAGGAGCTGCCTGACATGTGTTGATTTTGCGTCTTGCTTCCCCGTTTCTCTCAGCCTGGCAGTTCTCGCGGGAAAACTGCAGAGCAGCTTTGCGAGTCGTCTTCTTCCTGCAGACGCAGCTCCGGTCTTGCAGAGGACAGAATTATGTACCAAGAATGCTGCGGGTAAGAATAGTGACTAATCTCTACTATACAACAATAGAAGTGCACTCTAGCAACGAAGGCACAGTGATCGCCCTATTGTTTTCGCACGTTTCGACGGATGACGCGTGGTGACGCAGCACTTCAAGCACTGAGATGAGTAAACACCCGTGTTTGTAGGCACACCATCAGGAATGAGTTCATACAAGTAGTCATGATGCGAGACCTCCGTTTCTTCTTCTTCTTTTTCCTGTTCTGCCGGCGCGCGTGGATTCTCTGTGCCAAAAGGCCTCGGCAAGCACAGCCACAGGTTCATTGCTGCTAGGTGGTTCAGTTCTCGCACTCGAACTCTCCTGGGTGTATAGTTTGCCCTCAAGGGATTCCTGTGCACTCTTTATCAAGGCAGCTATGATGAGATCCCCAGAAATCGCACAGCTCTAAGCCCGGCACCTGATTCTTCAAGATCCCGACCACCAACTGCCATGAGAGTAGCATCCAAATCCTTCACAATAAAGCCCCACTTTCAAAGCTGACGTGTCGAAGTCACACCCTGCAACGCAACATGAGTAGCATGTGCCGAGTGTCCGAAGAATCTAAGTCAGAGTCATCCAGCTCGGGTTCATTCTCGTCATCACCTCGTTTGCAGCGAAGTAAAGTAGCCCAGGCTTGAACCACTTCCATGCTGCAGCATCAGCTGCTCTACTCTATTGCCAAGGCGCCCTCTTCTCTCTCCGTTGCCTGCCTCTTGGGTGTGCGCCCGCGCCCCTTGGCTGGAGCTCTTCTGGACCCCTGAGCGGCGCCCGCAGAAGCCTTGGACCTCACAAACGAAGCGTCGCTTACATGGCTTTCTACACGGGAAGCCAACTGCACTTGTTCGATCCTGACTCGTCTCTTGGGTGCCGGGTCACCTCGGCTAGCCATTAACCCGCCAACGGGGCATAAAGAAACCAGCCATGCTAATACTATATTCTTACATGCGCAACACCCCCCCCCCTCCCCATGATGCGCATCGAGCTGCCGTCCGCGCTCGATCTCTTGTTGCTCCGCTTGAGCCTGTCAGCGCAGCGTAACAGACCGGGTAGATATTCTTTCCCCTCGAGATGTGCCTCATGCTCTTCCAGCCGGTCTTCCGGCGACCGTCCACTTCATGGCTTGTGACACAGCTTGTGAGGAACGAATCAACCAGGAGCCGACATGCTGCTGCATCTGCGCAAATCATGTGCTTTGATAGCCACAGACAGATCCCCTGTGGATGTCTTTGCCTCAACCCTGGCAAGGCAAGCCCTTCTTTCCGCGGCTTTGTTGTCATTGTCCGCTTCAATCTTGGCATCGACGAGCCACTTCTCTTCAGGCCCAGGTTGCCAGTCGCCATCGTTGTCAGGAGGCAGCATCTCGAAGGCGTTGAAGCCGCCTATCATCTGCAATCTGCAGGTGTCAAACTCACAGCCGTGGCATGGCCTAGGCCGCGCAGTCCCCACAAAGTTGGCTCAGCCAAGGCTTCCAAAGCCTGGGCGGAGGTGCAAAGCAATTGCTGAACGGCGTTCCGTGTCACCACCGCTCCGGCCTTGAAGTCGGAAGCGACATCCACCCTTGGAAGAGGTGGCACTGAACAAACCGAGAGGCTGAGAGGCCTATCTTCCAAACTCGAATCCCAGCAACTGAAGCTCCATCCCGGCAATCCAGTCCAGTGCGGCAAGGATTGGTTTCTTGTACGGAATCGCCTCCTTGTGGGCGGATCCCTGACGGGTCGGACGGTGAAAGAACCAAGCTATACTTTGCACGTACTTACACTATGTCAAAGAATCGTGAAGATGTCCAACAACGTTTCCGAGGGGACTGTTCACAAGCCTCCAAGAAGTAGATCAAAAGATCATCGTAAGTATCCACCATGTGCGGCCCCTGGACTTTGCTCTGAAAGTCGCAGATCAACCTTGGTTCGACGCGAGGAGTTCACCCGCTGCCCACGGGACTTGAACCGACAGGACAGGGTCGAGGAGCAACAGCGCAGCCTGCTTGCCGAACTTCGCGGTCACAGCCTCGCCATGATCTCTCTGAGTGATTTTACACTTTGCACTGCACATGAACGAGATCCAGCCTCCATTAGGTCGCGAGCCCGTCCGAGTTCGCAGGAGGTCGCCACAGCCCGTACGAAGAGCTTGAGACTGCGTTCTTCTTGTGCGAGCTCGTCGAACTGCGTAAAAAGTCTGTTGAAGTTTTCACGAACCTCGCCAGTGCTCTTTTGCCATAGCATGACCCGAGTGACTCCGTAAATGCAAGTACTAGTACGCTCCTCACGTCTGGCTTTTTGGGCTTTGCTGCCTCTGGCTTGGCGGGATCATCATGCCAAAAGGAATGGACGAAGGAGCGGCACATGACCAGCGGAGTTCCAGGAACACTTCTCCTGCAAAGGGACCGACCGAAGGCTGAAAGAGCGAGGCGACTGCTTTGCGGCTAGGCCCTGGCCTGGCCTGGTCATGTAGTCGAAGAACCCATGCATTTCGGACGGTCGCTGCCCACCGGCTCCTAGTCCTTCACGAGTGGGTGCCTCACCGCGAGCGCAAGGCAAGTGCAAGGTCGCAAGGCAAGTCAGTGGAGGGGCGTATGGGGCGTGTGGTGTGGTGCTTTACCGGCAGGAGACCTCCCAGCCGTGACGAATGAAATGCAGCACGCCGGAATCGCTAATCCTCGGAGTCAGGCCAGTGTGTAGAACGAGCGATCCGATCATGCACATCATGCACCCTACAGCCCTAGCCAAGCATCTGAAGCCAATCGAACGGCAACTCTGGGCTCTCGATGCCCATTGCCAGCAGCGAAGCCTCAAACTGCGAACTGAGTTGCGAGATGAGCACGAGCACGGCTGGAAAACTTGAACTTGCCATACATCGCTACACCCTCCGAGCATCCTCAATCCTTCTTCTGGCCAGCTCCCCGGCCTTGACCAAACCGCTGGAGCCAAGCGAGACCACTTTCATGTCATCAACGTTGGGCCGATCCTCGTCACGCGCCTCACCGCGATCGGGTCAGATGTCGGTCTGGAGGACAGAAGCACTATTCCATATTATTCCACAGCTGCAGCCGCCTTGCACTTCCAGGTCTCGATCAGCATCATCGAAGTCAGTGGTTGCAGCTGCGGCAACGGATCCGGCAAGGGCCTAGGAACTTAACAAATCTCAGGTTCAAGCAGGCAGCAGGCTGCAAAATTGCAGAACAAACAAACTCAATTCCGGCATCATCGCCCGCAGCATTAGCCTTTGCCCTCCCCTATCTTCCTGGTTGCTCATAAGTCTGGATGAAGATAGCACAGAACCCAAGGTTTGACCACGGCATTATGCCAGCGCCGTTATCCTGTTTCCTGTTCATCCTCATGCTTCCTTTCTCCGCGTAGTGACACGAGTTGTTGAAACGGCACAGTCAAATCCAACAGAAAATTCTTATCTACACGTGCGTTTCCTGTTCGGTCTGAGAGAGTGGATGATCCATAACCCCAAACCCTCAACTTTCCAATTGTGTTTTCATTGCGTGGCCAAGTAGCTCCAAGAGCTCTTCTTCGGGCGAGTCTAAGCTGGGCTCGAAGGCCCAGAGTCCGCCAAGGCCGTTTAGCCCCCAGTCCTCCGAGGTCGCGCGGAGCAGTGCTATGATTGTAGGATAACCGATGCTACCTACTGCCTCAAAACCGATCTTCAGCCTGAAGACTCAGCCTACAACGATCTTCCAAGGCTCGGTACGGTCAGCACACTTCATGATGGTCTCCTGAGCGATGCCATAATGAAAGAGTGGCAAACACTGTGCCCAACATTTTCGATTGCATCTTCGGATCGAATCTAAGAGCGGGTCCCAGCCATCAAATTGCATGACGGATACCGGTCGACCAACAATCCAATCCAATGCTAGGTTCCTTGGTTCAGCTGAAAGGGGAGGGTAAGGCACCGCCCCAAGCGCACAAATCCAGATTCGGAGCTCGAGTTGGGTTCGGGGGCTGGAGATTTCGACCAATTTCGGGCCCCTCATGCTTCAGGGTGGTCGTCTTGAACCGAGCGAGGAATCAACGCAACACCTGCAATCTGCTTGCGAGCAACACTAAAGAACTGTAAAGCACTTTAGCGGGAAGTGGAGAGGTGACATGGTGCTCGCAGCATATGTCATGTCTCAGTGTTTCAGACCTGGCCTTAGCCAACAAACGGATATGGCTGAGGGATGTGCTTTCTATAGCTGTCTTAAGTGCCCCCTCCACTGGCACGACACCGGAATGGTTTACCTTAAGCTGAGATTCACTGCTTCCCCATAGGGTGGAGCCGGCAACCCCTCCTGCAGACATACGACGAAGGTGCACGGGACAGCGTAATGCAACATCGTCAGGTCACAACTCCGTGTCCTGATTTACATGCTTGCTGCCAGGCATGTAGTGCACCATTATGTTGTCCATACCTTCGAGGCAGTCGTCTTCTCGTGTCATTCACGTCATTCTCACATGCTTGCCGTGCCAAAGCCTTCCAGTTTGTAAGGAAGTTGTAAATAGCACGGAAAGGCATGAGGTCCTCGTCCCATTCTTGCTTGAGAGGGGCCTTCTACCAGTGCAGGCCCATCGGCAGTCTTCTGGAAGTCAATGATCAGCAGCAAGCATGCATGCCTTAGCCGTGAACGCCTGAGAGATGGACCTAGAATCTACCACTGCCAGATATCAGAAACAAACACAGGTACAGCGATGCTGAGCATTACTCGAAGCCGTTGACAGGACGAGCCGCTTTCCGTGCCTCTTGATAAGCAGCTCGAGAAGCCTAGGCAGGCAGCTCGTCAATGCCGGCCATATGGGAGTCTTCTCTGTTTATACTTTGTATAACTTGGGGAAAGTATGCTATGTACAACAAATGCATGTGTGTATATATATATACATATGCACATACACCCGCATATATATATATATATATATATATATATATATACAATATACATATATATATATAAAGACATCTACAGATATATGTGTGTATATATATATATATATATATATGCTACCCCCCCCCCCCCAGATACCAATAGAATTGTGTGTTTTGTGCTCTAAACCCTGCAATTCATGACACCAAGACACTCGAAGGTCTCAGATACTTCTAGTGCACGACCAGAAGGTGATTTTGTTCATCCCCTAGATCCCGCAATTCAAGACGCATGCATCCAGGAGGCGCTTAATACAGGGCCAGGCAAGCCTGACTTCATTGATGCCATACACATACAGGATGCTTCAGCACATGATAGGTAGTAACGGTTTAATGGCACCCTCTGTATTACTTAGACGTGCCTCTAATCTATCACCCATCCTTCCTTATCACACGCTAATAATAATAGTAGTACAACCCTAACACCGACAACTACCACTACCACTCCTCCTCGTGCTGCTGCTGCTGCTATTACTGCTACTACCACATTACTACATGTTTAGTTAGGTCTATGTGTTTCAGCGTCATTCCACATCTTGCCCCAAATGTATCCAGGCGACCTTTTCCTAGACCATGTCTTCTCACCATATTGCTCCTAAATTTCGTATCATGATATTAAGTTAAATCCTGTCACATATCCAACTATTATCAAGACGGTCATAACAAACCATCACAAGAACCGTACTACGACTACAATCTACTACTGATGATACTACTACTACTACTACTACTACTACTGCTGCTACTAACTACTACTACTACTACTGCTACCACTACTACTACTACTACTACTACTATCACTACTATCACTACTACTACAACTGCTACTACTACTACTACCACCACTACTAGTCAATCCATAGTATTAAACACGATTACACTGTACCTTTATCCTGTTATACTACTACCGCCATACCCTTATGCTAATCATCATATTCCTGCCACAATGCCTTAAGCAAGCTTTTCCATCCTATCATAAATCAAGAAGCTACCCATATTTATGGGTTTAGATGTAATTAAGGACACAGTATTAACATATCATTCACTTACATCAGTCTATCTCATTTACCTAACACACGTAAACAGTGCTCACTGAAGTAATCAAATATCACACTCATCACCCTAAACATAAAACGTCAGTGAGACTGGCAACCAGAAACAAAACACACCAAGTGTGATGCAGAGCGAGTACTCAAGTGCTGAGCATCCTGCTGCTATACTCAAAGTGGTGCAAGCGCCCTCTAAGGCCACAAAACGTTCATGGAGAGTCTTGTCACACGTCTCACCATCCCCCACCTTTTGGGGTGTGGGGGGGATGAAAATGGAAGTTTCCATTTCTGACCCTCCCTCTGAGATACATGTGGACATGGGCAGATGGCATGTAAGCTGACTCGCACTCACTCGGACCATCCCCTGTCATTTTTACTATTGCGTTTCCGGCTCCCCGGTGAGTGGCGTTTTGCCACGGCGAGCTGCGATCCTTCAGCAGGGGAGTGTCACGACTGAACCGCAGTGGCAGGAGGCTGAGACTCCGGCAGCGTCTGTGCAAGCCGACCACATCGCAAAACAGAGCCTCAGGGTGTCGCCGCATGCATCGACAAGCGTATCTCGAAAGCACCTGGGCACTCGGCCACGGCGCCAGTGCGATCCGTGCACGACCTCATAAATTTTCTTATTTTATCTTGTTCATGCCCGGGTGCGGTCTCATCCGATCGAGGCCCACACGATTCCACGATGAACCCTTGAGGTGTCATCTTCGAAACCTGGCAAACATCATGACTCGATTTTTGAGGATGCGACTTCTGTAGGAAACTGAGAGCAGGGCGAAGCTGTACGAGTAGGAGCACTCACATGTGGAGCCTAACACGGGCGATTGGTTGGTGTTCTCGAACTGGGGTTCCAAGATCAAGGCATGTGTAGCTGAGCCCCCAGCACTGGCTGTGCGAGTTTTCTCACCTCCCGCATCCAGTCCCTCAATGTCTTGAGGCCTTTCGAACCCTGATCGGGATGAGCATCGCAAAGTTTGCGAACGATAAGCTTGCCATAATCGTCCTTCTTGACATGAGAGCACGTGCACTCGAAGAAGTCCGGAGTCTGTTGGACCAGCTCGGTCCACAAAACAACCTGGCCGTCGCCCAGGTCGAAGCCGCCTTTGTCATTCAAGATCTGGAAGCCCCGGGCACTCCACAATCCTGGAAGCTTTTCCATGAATGTCACGAGGTTCGTGGTGCCCTGCATCGTGTGAGCGAAGCTGCGGTGATTGAGAACGGTGTCCGCCTCAGGTTCAGGGACACTGTGCGGCGCTGCAGCCGCGGCCTCCTGGTAAGCCTCCTCGCTGTCGACCACTTTCTGGATCGACTCCATCTGATCCTGGTTGAACCGCAAGACCATGATGGCACACTCCTCTGGGCCTGTGAAGCAGATGGTTGCCGGAACAATCTGACCGATGACGGTGCCGATAGGGTCCAGGAGATCGATGACTGAAGCTGCATGCACCGCAAACTGCCTCCCGGTCGTGCCCGTAGGACCGCACCTCCAAACTCTGGCTACTGCGCAGCTGGAGACTGTGAGCGGCTGTGTGGATGGCTTTGTCGTCCGGAGCCTTCTGCTGGAGGAAGAGCTTTTCATCACGGCTCCACGGAAGACGGTTGTGACCACGCCGAGGTGGACCTCTGGGCCTTGCCTGTAACTGTAGAGCACGATCTGGGGTTTCTCCACATCTGTGAGCGGACGAACGTGAGTGACCGTGTGGACGAACCAGGGACTGGCCGCCGCATTCATGGCAACAGCTTGGCACTTCTCTTGGACAGTCTTCCAGCCGTTGGCCCTGCTCATTCGTTTCCCGTCGGAGAAGCCAGCAGACCTGGCCAAGGCTAACTCGTGCACTAGCTTGTGATAGTCGGAGTCGCAGACGGCTTCTTTGCCGCTGAGCATGGCAGTGCTCAGGATTCCACGAGCATGATGTGTGGAAGCTGCAAGTGCACGTATGCGAGGCGTCATCAGGAGCTGCCTCTGAAGACAGGCGCCCAGCAGCTCGGAGCCTGGCTTGGAAAGGTCGAAATCTTTGAGGGTCCGCATGCGCTGGAGCAGATCATGCCACGTCCTCGGTCGGGTCGAGGTAGCACCGGAAGCATCTGTGGCGAGAACCAATGCAGCCTTGAGGGTATGGGGTTCAGGGTTTATGTTTGTTTTGGCTTAGGATGGCTTAGGGTTAGGGAGCTTTCAGATGCTTTGAGGCTGTCTCGGCCTCCTCCGTCTGCTCGGTCGTCTCGGCTTGCTGCGATGGCATCACGACTGCACTTGCAGCTGCTGCGGCCTCCTCCGGCACGGGCGGCGTATCCAACAGCTGGGCTATCTGTTGCTTGTTGAGCACGTGGTCTTCCAAGGATTCGACGAGCCTCAGGTCCTCGTCATCTGCAGGCTGCTCCCCGGCCTCCTCCTCAAAGATCATGCCCTCGGCGTCGACACCATCATCATCGTCATCGATTTCCTCCAGACCTTGTGTGACCAATGCCTTGCCGTAACCGGGCCACCATGCCCGGAAATCTGCCAGGATGACTGAGGCTGTGCGTCCCAGGGACATAAAAGCGAGCGTCCAAGCTGCGTCTTCCATGCTGTCATCAAGGACTTTGGTGACTTCGGTGCTGGGCACGGGGCTGCATCCTGTCTCGGGAGCGGTCCATTTCGCTCGGAGCTGCTCCACATGACATCTGTGGACACCCCACAGGCCTTGGCCAAAGCTTGGTGTTCCTCGATACGGACTCTTGGCACGGCCGAAGTGGTGCTCGGCAACTGCCTCCTGAAAGCATCGTGCAGAAAAGGAGTCTCTGCCGACCTCGCCTGGGTGCATGCAACCGAGGATTGACAACAACAAGCCGTGCAAGGTGTTGCGGAGGGTCGTCCTCGGAAGGCTGTACTTCTCGGCATTCTCGGCATGCTGCTGCTTCACCACCATATGGTTCATCAGTAGGAAGAAATAGCATGTCGCCGCTGCTCCTAGGCGCTCCTTCGAGGTCAACAGATCGCCGGCCTCGCCTGCCAGCGCGACGAGGCTGGACACCAATGTGTAGCCGTGGTGGCCAAAGCTGCACCAGGCTGACCGCAAGCACGCCGGATTGGTCCTCTGTGCCTCCTCCTTGTCGCTCATGGCATCGTGCATGGTGTAGGCTTTCGGCGGGAGCCCAGCGCCCAAGGCGAGGCTCAGATCGCACACGGCAGCGCCGTACTGGATGCTCCGGGTGCCCGAGACATGGTGTGCTCCCAGCCGCTTCAAGAGATGCAGGTTGTCGACGGATGCCAAGATGACCGTCGACGAGGGCTTGTGGTGGAGGACGGAGATGGGCATGTAGCGACCGAGACCTGCATTCTTGTGGCAGCAATGCTTCCAGAAGGGGAGGTCTTCGAAAGGCTCCAAGCTTTGGAGGCCAAGCGCTAGTCTTCGAGCCACATTGTTGGATGTGCCAGCATCCAAGGCGTAGCCCATGCAGGGGAGGTTGTTTGTGTCCACGTAGGCCTGCATGCAGTGGCCCAGTATCTCCACAAAGAACTCGGCCTTGCTGAAGTCTCCCTGCTCTGCTGCCGGCAGCAAGGGCACCATGCACACGTCCCACGTGTGCCGACGATCATCGGTTCGAGCCATGACTGCATGCACACTCATCCTGGCCAGTTTAGCCGAGGGCAGGCCTCTCAAGTTGTTTCCGAGAACCAAGCTGAAGTTCTTGTCGGGATCGGGGTGGTAGCCGCCGCCTAGAACGGCAACCTGCTGCTCGTCCGTGTGCACCAGGCCGACTACCTGTTCCCACGTAGGCCGCCAGTAGCTTTCGTCCAAGGCAATGAAGGCACTCCTCGTGCCCTTGCACCGGAGCAAAGAGGTGGCCACACGGATGTTGTCCGAGAGCTGAGCCTTGTTGCAAAACGCCAGCAGGGGCTTCGGTATGAGCTCAGAGTCGTACCGCAGCATTGGCTCTGACGGCAGTTTCACCCCGAACTTGTCCAGCAGCTCAGCTACCCCAGTTCCGCATCCCAGCATCCAAAACGAGCTCCTGTGCCGTCTCGTTGCTTGCAGTTTTCCTGACTCGAACTAAACCGCGATCCAGCTTCGATTGCATCTCCAGGAAGCTTTGCAGCAAATACCGAACGGCCACCTTGCCAGAGAGTTGGCCGCTGGCCACTTTTGCCGCGAGCTGCATGTCCTCTTTGGCCATACGGCCCTCTGCCAAACTCTTCGCGAAGCCATTGCAAAGATGTTGGTACACGTGCCTCTCTTCCTTGCCAACCTCGTCGGGCATCGGGAGGGTTTTCAGATTGACCGTGATCCAACTGTGGAGCCTCTCCGTGCGGATCTGCCTGCGGATGCATTCGAACCTCTGGCGGATCTGGTGCAGCTGAGAAACCGGAAGCTCGGACAGCAGTCCCTCGAAGTCCTTTCGGATGGCGTCGATGCTGCAAAAATCCCTGTCGACCAGTTCATCACATTTCTGGGCGATGTCCAGGTCTGTCCCGCAGGCTAGGACCTTGGCATAGTCCATCAGCGATAGCTTGCTTGCCCAGGTGCAGATCAAGATCCTCAGATCGCTCCGCTTGGCTAGCTCTCGGCAAACGGAGCAGGGCTCCTCCATTGAACCTCGTCCGGAGCACTCCGTGTGCCGGAGGAAGAGGATGTCATCCTGCCAGGCCCATTGGCATGTGGCTGCAGGATCCTTTGCGATCTTCGTCCGCAGGCATCCGTGCTCCACCCATTGCAACACGGACTCCGCCACCTGGTCCAAGCTAGGAACCACACCTGTGCCCAGACCGACGCCAACACAGCTCGTGGCCGGCTTGTCAATCGTGCGGTGGTTCTTGGCATAGGTCTGCTCGTGTTTCAGCAGGTGCCGCTTCGCAGACATGCAAAGTGCATAGGCGTTCACCTCGCGCTCACACTTCGTGCAGTACCACCGTTGGCCACCCGCCAGAGGCAAGTATACCCCTGGTCGCTCCTGCTCCACCCACCTCGCGAGTGTGGGCTTCTGCGCACCGCTCGGCGGACGCCCTCTGCCACTGGAGACAAGGGGCACAGGATCCTCTGCTGGCTGATCTTGCACGGGCCGGTGCTCCTGCTCAACCGGCTGGCTGCCCTCCGGCTGGTCCTGTACTGGCTGCTGCTGTTGCTGCCGATGCCGCTGCTGTGCCGATTCGATGAGGCCTTCCGTCAGGCCGTTCCGCAGAGCTCGGCAAGCCGGGCATTTCAGGATAGAATCCCGGCCCAGTGCGAGACAAAATTCCTGCCAATGTCCGGCCGAGTTCGGGACCTTATGCTTTGCATGGGCGGCCTGAAACTTGGAGTTGTAAGCGAGCTGACCCTGTTGGCACATGGCCAAGCCCCGAGACCTGTCCTGAGCCTCGCGAGCCTTCCTCTTGTCGGCCTTGCTGAGCGTCCTTGCGGGAAGGCGGCGTCCCACGGTCTTCGCGGCATCCTGCACCATGTGCTGGAGTGCCAGCTGATCCAGCATGTCCTCCTCCTCCGGGTCGTCCTCCTCCGGCTCTGCACTGGGCTCTGCCTTGATTCCCCTCATGCGAACCTTCCTCGAAGCCTTGTCAACGGAGGGTGGGCTGGGCCGGTCGTGCATCTTCTCGCTCTTGATACGTTTTGGGGTGTTCGGAGCTGGACAGAGGGCGGCTACGCTCGCCTCGGAGAAGACTGCATCTGGACATCGGGGCGGCCAGATGGCTCCTGGCGACTCCATGCATGTCAGGACATGTTTCCATGCCAGAGCCACCAGCAAGCCACAGCTCCACGTGTCCTTTTGTCGGTACTCGCACCCTTTGAGGGTCCTGTATTGACCCCGCTGATGCCAGCCGCTGCCAGGATTGTCCAAGGCAACCAGAAATGCCTGTGTTTCCGCTTCAAGTAGTTCGGCCTGGACAGCAACAGCAAAGTCGAAGTGAAGCACGTCGGAACACCCGCGTCGCAGAACGACGCACCCGAAATGGGTGCGGGTTGCAGTGATGCCGAGCAGTAGGTCCGAGCTGGGATGCAATGCAAGCTGCCTCTGCCGTTGCTCGGTGCTTGTGTCAGTGACGATGACATGCTGCGGCCACAGCTGGCCGTACATGTCTTTGTTTATCTGAACGATCAGGTGAAGCAGGGTGCCGTAGGAAGTCAACTGGCCGAAGCAAGGGGGTGTCCACGGCCAAGGAGCTAGCAGTCTTCTCTCGAGGTCCAGGCACACATCTCGAGCTGGCAATCGTTTGATCGTAGCTGCGACCTTGCATAGGCCAGAACATGAGCAGGGAAGTCACAAGGTTCCTGGCTTCCAGCAAGACGGCTTTAGGCTCAGACAGCGCTGCTGTCCGAGGCGATCCCGGTGTGATCCTCAGACGACCCAGCAAATTGGAAATGATGGGGGTGCGACCCCTGGAAAGCGACAACTGTCTCGAGGATGGGCGGGGTCACACCCCCGTCATTTCCATTTTCCGGGTCCCGGGCACGGTCCCGGGGAAAGCCACGTCTAGCTCGCCCGCCCAATCGCCACACTATCCCGGGAATCCCCGCAAAGGCCGGGAACTGGAAATGATGGGGGTGCGACCCCTGGAAAGCGACAACTGTCTCGAGGATGGGCGGGGTCACACCCCCGTCATTTCCATTTTCCGGGCCTGCGGTGCCATCCCGGGCGGTTCCCGGCAGATGATGGCTCTGTTCGTTTTCATATGTACATATCTATATCTATTCCCATCTATTCCCAGTTCGGCTCGCCCGCCCAATCGCCACACCACCCCGGGAATCCCCGAAAAGGCCGGGAACTGGAAATGATGGGGGTGCGACCCCTGGAAAGCGACAACTGTCTCGAGGATGGGCGGGGTCACACCCCCGTCATTTCCATTTTCCGGGTCTCGGGCACGGTTCCGGGGAAAGCCACGTCTAGCTCGCCCGCCCAATCGCCACACATCGCCACACTATCCCGCCGAAAAGGCCGAAAGTGGAAATGATGGGGGTGCGACCCCTGGAAAGCGACAACTGTCTCGAGGATGGGCGGGGTCACACCCCCGTCATTTCCATTTTCCGGGCCTGCGGTGCCATCCCGGACGGTTCCCGGCAGATGATGGCTCTGTTCGTTTTCATATGTACATATCTATATCTATTCCCATCTATTCCCAGTTCGGCTCGCCCGCCCAATCGCCACACCACCCCGGGAATCCCCGAAAAGGCCGGGAACTGGAAATGATGGGGGTGCGACCCCTGGAAAGCGACAACTGTCTCGAGGATGGGCGGGGTCACACCCCCGTCATTTCCATTTTCCGGGCCTCGGGCACGGTTCCGGGGAAAGCCACGTCTAGCTCGCCCGCCCAATCGCCACACATCGCCACACTATCCCGGGAATCCCCGAAAAGGCCGAAAGTGGAAATGATGGGGGTGCGACCCCTGGAAAGCGACAACTGTCTCCAGGATGGGCGGGGTCACACCCCCGTCATTTCCATTTTCCGGGTCTCTGAGGCATTGTCCGACCAAGCCCCCGGCATGCGCAGGTTCGGGATGCTGTTGCTCAGTCTTGACCTCAAGATGCCAAGCTTCCCAAGGTTTCAGCAGCGAGTGCACGTGTGTGTGTGTGTGCACAATCCCGAAGCAGCACAAATCAGGAGACGACCGGTCCAGCACGCGACTGCTCCTGACCGGAGACAACAACCGGCACAGCAACGGCACGGACGATCGCGATTATGGGGCAGTCCCCACCTGCTCTGGCTTCGCGGCTGCGGGCACACCGTCCACTGCAGCACCCTGCCATCGGAGCGATCTCGAACCCGACCCCAAACCCTGAGCCCTGTACAAGGCTAGGTTTGGGAAGGACAGCCAAGGGCCAGGGTCCACAGCCTCCAGAACCAGAGGTGTCGGTGGAGCCGCCTCAGGAAGGCAGCATGCACAAGATGTGAGCATGCAAAGATATGCAAAGCATACAGAGCGCTCGCTTCTATGTTTGAGCTCGTGCGGGCAGTCGCGAGAATCCCCAATCACGACGTGACGGCTTTCTATGCTGCCAAAATAAGCTCATGTACGCTCAGCATGACTTCTGCATGGAGCGGCCTGACTTCCCCATGAAACTCCTATCAGGCTTTGCGGCCACCTTCGGGATCCTTCGAGGCTGCCTCTGTCGAGCTTCTCGATGCATCCTGCACCTGACGATCCTCTGGAGGTGTTCGAGGTGCACCGCCCTTGGACAAGGAAGCCGGAGGCGTCGATGAACACGGCTGCAGCTCCTGTGCGTCCTTCTTCGGCGGCGACATCTCATCACACTGTGACTTCGTCGGGGTCGCAAAGGACGGGGCACTGCTCACCGGCGACATGGCCGTCCAGTCTGGAAGTTGTCCTTTGACCCAATGGCGCTTGGCCCGCTTCTTCGGTGCCGCTGGGGTCATGTCCGGCATCTGACTCCAGTCAGGCTCCAGCTGAGACATGTCGGGGGACACATCCAGGAAGCGGCGAGTCCTAGGCGGGGTCGTCACAGCTCCGTCGGCCGAGTCCATCAGCACGGCCAGCAAAGCAAGATCCAAGCAAGGCAAGCACCAAAACCTCGGGTCCAACACAGTGTCTCGGGCCAAAGAACAGGCCACGGGCCAGCGAGTTCAATTGCCAAGCAAACACGACACCACGAACAAGGCGCCCAGCATCAGGATAGTCCTTGAGGTCCGGGCACACACCACAGCAGTCATGCCACCGGCAGCCATTGGCAGATCCTGATGTGGGGGCAGGTGCAGAAGGCATCGGCATGCCAGGGCACGGCATATATGGCCTGGTCCAAGCCACCACTTTGCCGCTCATCAGGTGCACCACGAGCAGCAGCCTCGTCCTGACCAAAGGGCACGGCAAGCCCTAAACACTTAAGAGGTGGATTGATGTCCTCTGCCGGTTGTGCTTGATCCGATGCGACCTACAGCAAAGCAAACGAAGTGAAGCCAGGACCACTCGCCAAAGACCCGAGGCATTCA